CCTTTACATTTATAATAATTACATTTTAAAACATTAGAAAAAAGCTCAGCTGTGAAATGTTACTCCTCCACCTTTCACGTATCTGGAATTTCATCTATATGCGGAGCACGAAAGTACCATTTTTGAAGTCCGAAACAATGCGCGTACACGCAAAACATTTGCTTCTAACAAATTCTCCACAGAACTGTAATGGGAAGGAAGATCCGCGGGAAATACGATTTGGGAAATGTTCCAAATGTCACGTGGTTCGCATTCCTGTTCCCCTTCAGGGTTGCCGTTTCTCTCTCTAGTACATTACAGCTCTATGGTTACAACTACACCTTTCTAGTTTCCGTTCCGACAGGAATTCTAAAATTTACGGTTCATATTTGATACTGCAGCAGGAAAAATCGCAATTTTTACGATATTTTGAAGGGACTGTAAATTTGCCAGTGTATTCTCGATTATCCGAGTACGGATTATCCATTTTGCGGATTTTCAGTGCGTCGCGGTGCCCACACACGCGCACCTAGAGCTATGATCGAGAGTGTGTAAAAAACAAAATACGCACAAGTTCCGGTAGGCTCTAAAAACTGCTGAATAGCTTCTTTAGGTTTAGTTTCAACGATTATCTCGTAGTTCATTCTGCTTATGCATAATCGAAGGCAACGTTTCAATTGTTCACTGAAATATTTTTGTTTCCGATATATTTTAATGCATATTTTCTTCTTATCCTTTCGAGAATTGATTTAAAATGTCAGAATTAAAAACTGAAATCTGGGGGTTTATTTAATTGCTTTACCGGAGATTTATTTAAGTGTGAAGAAGCAGAAGCAATAACTGAAGTTGTTCGTCAAAAAATTGAAAATGTAAAATTCTTCAAAAATGTCTGTTGGTAAAGTTTGGTTTGGTTTATTTAATTAGGGCAAAGCACACTAGGGCTATCTGCCTAAGGCCAGGGATGCCTTCGTGGAGGACTTTCTAAGGGAAACTGGCTCGTATACACGTTACACATGGGGAAAACCACGAAAAGGCCCATGCAGCCGCCCGTTCGCGGGATTCGAACCTCGGACCAAACTACCAGTGTTCAGCGACTGTACCGCTCGGCCGCTGGTGGGCCGTCTGTTGGCAAAACACCAAGGAATAGTTCAGTGGCGATTCGAGTGAGCTGTGCTTTCAATGCTCGAGTATTGCGGATGTCGTTTCAAATGTCACAAGAACAGAAAAGGCAGAGTGATACTGAAAATAAAGAGGGCGTTCGCACATTTTTTAAGACGATTTTCATTGTTATTATAGAAATATTTTACCTAAAATTTTTATGCTTTAAATATTCCATTTGATAACCCTTATTTTTCACTAACTTTTTTACCGTAATTTCTATGGTATTAAAGCCTTTTGTAGTGTCGGACGAGGTATTTCATCCCATTCATCTGGAACAGCTTTTTAAAGTCCAAGGAGGGTTGCAGGTCGACGTTTGAACAATTCGCTTATCCGTCCTTTTTGCATGCCTTCGTGGTGTAATGGTAGCACATTCGGCGCGTATTCGAGAGGTCCAGGTTCGAGTCCTGTCAAGGACATTGCACATTTTTCATGTCTCCTGCTTAAAATAATCTAATGTCTCTAGAGTGGCACTCGAACTAAAAAGATGAAGAACCGATATGATTTTGCACCACCAGGATTTGGCGATTGGGTCCCCTAATTCCCAGTTGCCCTTTAAAAGGGAGAGTATATAAGGTATTTTCTCCCTCCTTTCTGCGTGTCTTCGTGGTGTAACGGTAGCACACTCGGCGTGTACTCGAGAGGTCCAGGTTCAACTCCCGGCGAAGGCATTGCTCATTTTTCATGTTTCCTGCTTCAAAATAACACTAATGACACACGCTTTCAAAAGTCCAAAAGCGCAAAAATCCGTGGTGATATATCGGGAGATTTAGTTGGGATATGAGGGAAAGGTATGGCTTTGATACCTTTTCTTGTTTAATTTTTTCCAGGCAATTAAAGATGCATTTTGATGGGGGGCTGCTTGTTTTGTTCTGATGCAGACCCACTGATGGATGGCACTGTAGGTAAAGAGAAGGTATTTCGTATTTGAAAACTGAGTATTAAATATGTTCCTGATATTATGTGGAGTTGAGCTTACCAGCTTTCTGGACACTGGTTAACTTTTATTTGTCGCTATACCAAAAACCAGTAACAATCACAAATCCCTTTGCAAAATTTCTTTAGATTCTATCTTCTCTTTGATGATAATAAATGGGTCTCTTTAGTTGCGGTCATTTAAATATACCCAAGACTCATCTATTGTGACAAAATTTTTCCATTTTTGTCCCAACGATTTTTTCTCATAGAGAATTTTGCAACGCGTTGTGCTTTCGGCGATATGTCGTGGAGAAAGGCGATGCACATTGCGTTTTTTCGCCTTTTTAAGATTCAAATCAGCATTAATCAGTTTGTTTACAGTTGACACTGAGCATTTTAATGATTAGGCGTCTGTCTTTTAACTTCGCAGATCTTCTTTTAACATTAAAGTTAGTTCTCACCTTTGCAACATTCGAATCATTCCATTTTTACCTTGGATATGTATTTTCAACAATTTTTCTCCTTGAAGCCAAACTTTGGCCATTTTTTTTCCTTTTTTTATTGGCAATACTATCTATCGTTGCTTGGGACTCCTAAAAATCATGGCTTTCACAGCATTTTTGAATAATTAAATACGAATAATTTTCTTTGGAAAAGAGCACAAACATAGCCTTCCGTCCGTTGCTTCAGTAAAAACGCCATTTTGTATGAAAACAAAATTGTCAAGTAGCAGACGATAATTTACACTTTCAAAAATATAGTTAGCGTTAATTTTTTTTTTTCAACCAATGTTTTTTTAAAACAAAGCAAAGTCGTCTGAAAATGGGCGAACAGCTTGTATTCAAACGGAGAAGAAACTGGCAAGTATACAAGTTCGCTACAGTAGTGACTTCTGTTGAAACTTTATTGCAATTTGTCGACCAAAGGGGATTCAAATAGAGTAATAAAGTAGCACTTCGAAAAATGCGCCGTGAAATTCGACAAATATTTAAATGTTCTCAAAAACAAAATAAAATTACTGATTATTTGAAGAAATAAACACATACAGAATGCATAAAAATTGATAGTTTGGATTATCCGTAACCTGCTGCCCCCGACATTAGCCCGGATAATCGATAGTACACTGTATTTATTTTCTCTTTCAAGTTCAATTAACTCGAAAATTACAGCAGAGTTATAATTTTAATACTTGCTAAATGGCAGTCGTTAGTGCCCTTAGCAGTAGTGGTTAAAAATCCTTTACTGATCCACGTCTGCGTACGAACAGAATAAAGGATTCCTTTCTCCAAAACGGACTGTAAAATGAATTTAAAAAACGGAATCATAAAATATTAATCACAAAATAATGGCGAAATTTTATCTATGTGAAGAAAATCAATGTTTCTTATAGATCTGAGTTGCGTTGGTTAACTATGGCAATGTGCCTAAGGATTAAGTAAAGGAGAAGGATAACTATCTAATTTCTTACGGAAATTAGCTTTAGAGATGGAAAATATGCTTCTTTAATACACACATTGTGTATTTCTCTTTCGAGGACTTTCTTTCTGTTACTGAATCCACCAGTGGTAGAGAGGTAAAGTCGTTGAACACTGGTAGTTTGGTCCGAGGTTTAAAACCCAGCGAAAGGACTGGCTGCACGGGAGTTTTCGTGGTTTTCCAAAATGTGCAACGATTTTTTGTGCATACGATCCAGTTTCCCTTAGAAAGTCTTCCACGAAGGCATCTCTTTCCTTAGGCAGATATCCCTCAAGTGTTTTAGCGTAGTCAAATAAACCAAATAAAACGTTTCTGTTGCTGAAAGAGAGAGTAATGATACCTCCTTTATTAAAGCAGTTACTTCATAAGTTTTTGGAGACAAATGAAATTCGTGAGCTTCGGAATAAGCGATTAAGTGTGATTGTTTTGGCGACTGATCACAGCAGCTACTCTAACGAGGAAGTATCGTCTCACATTCTGTAAAATCCTCATACAATTTATACGCCAAGAAACCGATATAGTCGAAGTAAAAACTACTTCATCTTTCTTACGGTTACTGAGAACTAAACTTAACTACTTAAAAACTTACTTACTAAAGCGGCTATCGTCATTCACTGATTGGGATTATTCATGGCTAACAGGAACTAAGATATTTATTTATCTAGCCAGTTATTCTTTACTGTCATTCTCTCTTTCCGTTTTCCTACTAGAATGCTAATTTTAGTTCGCGCATATTCAAATGAGGTAGAAAGAGATAGACTTAAAAGGGGGATTTTAGATTGTTTATACAGTGCGTGTTCCGCCTGCTGAAGGCCACGTTACTAGTAGATATTCTATGATAGTAATCTGTATTCGACGCTGCTTTGTTCTTGCCAATAGTGCTTGTCACGCCGGTATGGGTTTGAGCTAACTTACGCGTTAATCATTTCTATGCATCCTTTGGATAACTTACAACTTAATTCAGTTAATTTGAAATTCTATCTTTTGTTTTATGCCGAAAATGCTGGCTTGTTTTGTAAGTACAAGAAGTGCCTTCGCTTAACTATTTGAGTTCTTAATAAAAGGATCTTTTATATCCTTCTTTCTTTCTCCGCTTTCTGACAAGACATAGCGATAATTCGCTTCAGTCTTACCCGAGTTATCGCTTTAGTCTCGACTTAGTGAATGCCTCCGAAGAAGGCAAGACTCTGTAGGGTAATAATTAAAAAAAAGAATTATAAATCAAAAACAGAATCTGTAAAATTCAACTGTAGATCTCTGCAAAGAATTCTTAGTGTTACTTGGTACTGATATGGACAGGGTATATCGATATGCATATCCATATTAAAAAATACTCTATGCCCCCAGCTGCATTGATAACCTGCATTATTATTTTGATGCGAGATAATTAAATTTGATTGAATATAGTTTGGGCAAAACTATTTCCCTTATTTTCCTTCTAATATACATAAAAAAGAAATTCTACTTACTAGTGTGATGGGATGCGCTGTTCTCTTGGTGTGCCCTGTTACTTGCTGATTGTCCGAATCTTCATCATCCTCTTTCAGAACTTTCCTCAGATGGGCTATGTATGTTGCAGCAAGACGAAGGGTGTCCAGCTTTGAAAGTTTTGTGTCGGGAGGCACCCAAGGCAGAGACGTTTTGAGACGTGAAAAGGCCCTGCTCAGAACTCGCATTCGGGCTCTTTCTCTGGCATTGGCCGCGTTTCTTTGCACAGGTTTCTCAGGACTCGTGGATGGAGTAAAACTGCAACTGCGGAACATGCTGTCGAAGTCACAAGTGTCTTCATCCTGCTGTACGGGAGCCGGGTTCCGACGACGTTTCGCCATTCTTCGCAATGTCCTACATGAAGTAAGAAATGAAAACTTAATACTTGACGTGAGTAAACGTGAAATGAACTGAAGAGTTTTTTTTTTCTTATTTTCACCTCTTTAACGGAAAGAAGTTTTGTTCTTAGCATGATTGAATGAACGAATAAACACAAATTATGTACTTACAATAAAATTGTAATTTAAATGTAAGTGAAAGATTTGATTACAGCCTAGGCTCACAAGATCCGTAGATAAGGATTTCAGAAGGCATCAGAGACATCTTATATTCTCGTGTACCCCTTTTATCGCATTGGGGACTACCATCTGCCTAGTGTACAAGAGTGTCTTAATCGGATCTTAGCTCTAACTTGAAAGTCTGTTGGCGACTAATCGCTAACAGATTATTTATTTAGAAGGTGAATATAACAGGAGAAGGGTGTAAAAGACGCTTTTATTGAAACTCGGTTATTTACAATTTCACCATCCATTTGTGGTGAGGAACTTAATGGTAATAAACTGAACTTAAAGGTAAGGTACTAGTTCAGGCCTTCACAAATTAATTTAAACTAGCAGGCTGACTCAGAAACCCACAATGGTGTGATATTAACTTCGGCAGCAAGAATGAGAAGCTAAGATTCATAACAGCTGATAGCAACGACGCAACACATTCAATAGCGAAAACACGCTCTCACTAACCTTTTCGCTATTTCAGTTTAAATACACTCTTTGTTCACCGTAACTCATTTACGCCCTGGCGAGAGAACGTGACAAATATAAGAAATGACAGAAAAGGCTAACAAATTAAAATAACCATTAGTAAAAATAATATAAACCTCGCACTCTTTTAGGTTACAATTAAAATAATCAGGAACAGTACAGTCTGCAATTAAACAAAATGTACAGTTCAAAAGTAACTGGGATTAACGGAACCAGTTACTAAATCTTGGTGGCAGCAAAATGTAGCCCATCAGCTTTTAGTTCGGGCGCCACTGCAGAGTCTTTTTTTTTTTTTTTTTTTTTTTTTTTTTTTTTTTTTTTTTAAGCAGAAGACGTAAAACGTGCAGTGCCTTCGCCGGGACTCAAAACCTGGACTTCTTGAATACTTGCTGAGTAGTCGTGCAATTACACAACGAAGGCATGCGGAAAGGAGAGAGCAAATACATTATACAGCAATAAAATATGGGGACTTGGTACCCCAAAATTGATGAAATAAGTGATTTTTCAATTTTTTGCTAAATAAGTTCCTTAATACCCTTACTACACTGAAGAGAAATTTTGAAATGATCTGACGATAATAAATGGTATAAAAAGGATTTTAAAATTTTTGACAGCCCTTTAAATGCTACACCCCTCACTGTTTATTCTTTTTTACTTCTTAATTGTTTCAGTAATTTATTAAAACTTAGTGTAAAAGCAGAGGAATGTCATTAAATATGAATATCAGCAAACCCTGTTTATATGTATAAATTAATTTATTTAAATACAAAACGAAGTTGGAAAAAGAAATTTCTCCTTTAAACTAGCAGGTTTATATATACATATTGAGCTCAGCAGATATTTCTATATGTATTATCAATCCACTTGGCTATGCTTCTTCAAAAATTGAAATTATTTTAAAAAGACACGAACAGAAAGAAATGGCGTAATGAAAGTGATCAAGTTTCTAAGTGTAGCGTTACTGAAATAATGCTGGAAAAAACATTAAACTCTTTAATTAATTAAAATGCACCTAAATTAACTTTAAATGCAATTTATATACGCGGAAAAACGGCTAAAGAGAAGAAATCACATATGTTGCTCAGTGGTTCAAAAGAAAAAAAAAAAAAAAAAAAAAAAAAAAAAAAAAAAAAAACCTGAAAGGTTTCAGATTTCAAATTACGTCCAAAGAGGTGTTTTTTTAACGTTTTGTGTGTTACCTTTATTTATTAAATATTATGTTCTTTGCACTTAAACCATAAAATTCAATTCAACAGCAATGTCGCAAAATAATTTTAAAATGAGCCTGTCTTTAGAATTTCCGATAAATTCCGCGGCGTTGGAAATAAAAAGGTTTTTTCCCCCCGGTAGAGTGTTCCCAATGCTCGCCTTTAAGTTGTTGAGTTTGTTAATCAAAAATTGTTAAAGTTTTACAAAATATGAAATCGATAATAAAATATATTTCAAATTTGGGCTTTCAGATGCCCATAGTCGCAGTAGGATTACGTCATTCAAAATTGGATGGCTCTAGGTACCGTTGTTTTTATCACAATGCGAGAAAAATACCTACATTTATGCAGCTTCTTCATTATTTAATTTTTTTCAAATATAATACAGGCCGATAGTATTTGGTGGCAACGATTTGAAAAGTGATACAGCCTTTTAAAGTTTTTAACGCAAAATCACAAAACGAAAACAATAGTATTTCGAGAACAAAGCCCCTTTGGACTAATATTTCATATCTGTTCAAATTTCAAATTTTGCTTTGAATAAAACGACAAATTATTATTATTAATATTGATTAATAGAAATGAATGTTTAGAAAATGTATTATAATTAATTCGTGCATTAAAATGGTTTCCAACGCGTTTTAAAAAAACAAAAACAGGTAAAGAAAAATTCAATTTGCATTTTACGTTTTTTTGCAATATTTCTGGCCAGATAACATTTTAAACAAAAGCTTGTAATTTATGTTTATATTAACCAATTAAAAGTACTAGGTTTTATTTTACATATATTAAAATTCAGTAATAAAATTTTAAAGAAAGTTGAAATGATTTAATGTCCATTTAGACAGTTTACATTCTTTAAACTGCGTTTTCTCAGTTTACGTTTTTTCAATAAATCCTTCTACTTAAAGTCCTAAAACGTATACAAGTATGGACTAAATTATTTAATACTTTTACTGCTTGTTTAAAATTATATACTTAAACGAGGAATGTGTTTTGCAAAATAGTGGAAAGAAAAATTATTGGAAGTGAAAATGTGATTGAGATTATACTTTTTGTTTAAAGTTTTTACACAAAAATGTGCTTTTTATTTTCAGAAACTAATTCATTAATTGCAAAATAAATTTTAAATTTATTAAGAACGCACTCTAATAAATACAATAAAAATTTGGGACAAAAATATTTAAAATTGTAGCAGAAAAACATTCTAATTGTTAAATTTTTCTTAAAAAAATTTTAATTAAAAAAATATTGGCAATTTGTTTTTCAGCTCAAAACCATGTTGTCTATAAAAAAACCACTTCATACTATTTTTAAAAAGTAGATGAAAGTTCTTAAATAAAAAAAATCACTCAAAAGGTACCGAGTCCTCTTATAAACCAGTTGGAGAAGTCCATTTTTTCGGTCACTAAAATTAAAGAATTAGTATCCCAACACACTTGTGTTCCAAAACATTCCAATTTTCGATTATTGAGAATATTTGAAAGAAAGGAAAAAAGTGCTTCTGTCCACCTATATCTTGAAATTAGTAATTACATAAATAATTTGATTGCTCAACGTTTCTATATGTCAACATGAAAACAATTTATTAAAAACTTAATTGTTAATCGATAATTGATTAAAAAGGGTAAATTTAATGAAAATTTTATATTTAATACACCCACTTACCATTTGAATTATTGCAGATTTTATTTTGTTAAATTTTCACATTTAAAATTAATTTTGATAACTGCTGATTAATAATTCTGAGTATTATAAAATTATTATTATTAGCCGCAGAATAATTGTGTAAAATTATCCATCCATATTTAAATTTCTGAATTTAGAAAGGTAATCGCAATAATTCTGAAATCATTATTACTTGGCTTGGTAAATTTTGGTAGCTAAATTAATATTTCGCCAAAAATTAATGTTTTTCGTTTACAATTTCTCGAATTATCAGAAAATTATTTGGAGAAAATGGTCAGTCCTATTTCAGATTTTTTAAACAAATCGAACTAAGCTTGTAAATTTCCTATACGTCAAGCTATCATAAAGTATTTACGCGAATATTAGCTCTCTGTACTGCTTTTTTACTCACAGATTACTCCAAATCCTTTGATTTTCTAGCTCAAGTAAACAAAGTTTTGTAAGACGAGAATAGTTTATATTAAGAGTTTTTAAATTTTTTCTCTCCCTAAAGATCTCTTTTTGGGCGCCAGTAAAGAGATCTTTAATGCTTAAAGATAAACATCACGTTTTTTTATCATTGGGGACTGGATACTGTTATTGAGAAGCATATATATATATATTATTTTTCCTATTTTATTCTACTGAGGAAAAAACTGCCGAAAAAATCTGAAAATGCATTTTATTCACTTTGTGTTAGATCTTATATTTATGGATGCCCCGTTTTCGTCTAATGTGAGTAAATATTTGCCAGATATCATAAGCACGCAGCAGAACGTACAGCACTGTGAAAGCAAAGATGCTTCTAAGTATTTCCAAAAAAATCTAATGAAACGCAGATGTAATAAAAACTGATTCACGTAGAACAAGGGTCTGCAAGCTTTTCAGCCCGCGGGCCATATTAGCTCTTTCGCGAAGCTTCCAGGGCCAAGATCCAGTTAATTCATCATACCATAGCGATGCAATTATGATGAACAGCATACGCGTTTTTAAACGAGGCAGTGAGATTTTTGTGATTGGATCTATACCTTATGATTTTACGCAGAGCCTTGTTTTTTAGACTTTCATGCAGTTTCACCTAACATAAATTTCTTAAAGCCTTTTTAAACATTTGAAAAAATATATCTTTGTCCCAGAATATTAGAGATTTCTTCGGTTTAGTGTGCACTTTACTTTTCAATCGATTTATCAGCGTATTTTGTTTACATTTTGATCAGGCGCAAACTTTCGCTCATAAGTATTTCATATTTTAAGCAAATTTTGTGCGAAAAAAAGATCTCCAAAATTAAATTTTAACATATATAGAACAAAAATTAAGATTTAAATAAAACCACCACCGAAAATTAGGTATCATATTTCAATAGAAATACCCATTTTGACCGTTCCTAGATCCACTTTCTCTAATTTTTGTGACGTCTGCATATACTGAAAGAATAAAGGACTCTTTTTTTTTTTTTTTTTTTTTTCTTTTTTCTTTTTTTTTTCAAAATGGATTTTTTTCATGAAGTCTATATGTACGAATGTATCTTGCATTATATATATATATATATATATATATATATATATATTTCAATTTATTTTCCATTTTAAGTTTATTCATGATTCATTTTTATGTTTCATTTTAAAAAAATTTTCAAGATTCAGTTTTCAAATATGCTTATAAGTTATATCATTTCAATAGAATTTTAACTACCTTTATTAAAGGAGATAATACTAAATAATCCATCACTAAATAAATTTTTCATTACTTTACAGCTTTTGCGCAAGTATTAGGCAATTTATTACGATTAATTGAATACATATATATATATATACATCAAAGATTGAAGTAAGTATATTAATTAATCGTAATAAATTACTTAATACTTGCGTAATCATTTTTAAATGCTTATAAATTACTTCATTCAACTAAAATTCTACTAACTTTTCTCAAAGGAGATAATATACTCAATAATCCATTAGTAAATTAATTATATACATATACTACTTAAAGAATCTAAAGTTCTGCAGCTATAGCGCAGGACGGGTATAAAAATTTGCTTTTAATTTTCAGCTTCTTATTTTGTTTCTTTCTGTATATATATTAGTCTGTATGAAAATTAGAACTGTAAAAAATCTAGTTTTAATTTGTCATCGACTGTTTTGATCAATGAGGATTTTTACATAAAACGCGTTTTTCTCCAAACGTGATTTCTTTTATACTCGATGTGCCCTTTTCTCAAGAACTACTGCTCACAGGTATCTAAAATTTTTATGGCTGATTTATTAGGTTTCCTAATATTTACTGAGATGAGCCTTTTGTGATAAACGTAGAAAAAAATCCCTTTTTTTTGTGTGAGAAAAGTGCTAAATTTTACTATGCCTAACAAAATATTCTGTGAATTACTTTAAAATTCAAAATGTTTAAAAAGCTCTTTTCAATATAATTAGATAGGTATATTTTAATTACACAAAAAATTTCAAGCATGTATCTAAAGCAGATTTTGAGAAAAGCTACATCGAAAATGGCCAATTTAACATTGTCGGTATAGGGGTTGTTGATACCTCTTAAACATATATTTCCAATTACAGAAGTGTTTTAATGAGGAAAATAGTCGTATTTTGTTAGTTAATGTATTAATTAACTAATTTTGTTAGTTAATGTGCTAATTAATGTATTATGTTAATTTGTATTGTTGTGTATACGAGCCAGTTTCCCTTAGAAAGTCCTCCACGAAGGCATCCCTCTCTTAAGAAGAAGTCCAACCTCTCTTCGGAGTAGGTTCTGGCAAACATTATTCCATGTAATATGGACAAGACAACAACAACAATTTGTATTGTTAATGAGGAAAATAATCGTATCGGTAGTGCCAAATTTAAAAAAGAATTAATTTTGGACACATAACGAAATCTAACTTTTAGTGCAGACGCCCGGTTCGTATACTTATATCTGCGAAAGTTTTACACTCGTTATGAAAATATATAATTACAGGAAGTTTTGCTGTCGCACGAAGCAAATTGACCGAGATATTTAATTTCAAAATTTGCAATTTTTGATGTCATTTCCAACATGCCCCAAGGAAGAAATTCGAGGAAATAAGTTTAAATAAAGTGCAGCAAAAAATGTGTATAATCTAATAGGCCGTACAACGAAGTCACATCAAAATTTTTTTTTTTTTTTTTTTTTTTCAAAAAGAAGACGCCTCCTCTTATCATTAAGTTCCTCTTTTGACTATGAAGCCCGGCTCCTGATGCCACGGAATGAGAACATTTAAATTAAATGAGAAGAATAAAAATAACTAGTATATTTCAATAACTAATTGATATAAGAATAAGCAAAAATATATAAATAAATGGAAATATATAAATACTTCAAAGTATATAAATTAAAAATTTTGGCTTAAAAAATCAGCTATTTCGAGATGAACCAAAAACTTACACTGAAGTTTATATAAGGATTTATATTTTACATAAGGATTTAATATTTAAGGAAACACTTTCGATCTCAAAATGAAATCTTAAATAAGAATTACAACACAAACGCTGAAACTGCTTGAAATAAAAATTATAACGTTATAAAACATTTTCATTTGCAACTATACTTACAAAATAAAGCCTTAAATTTTATTCGCAAATCATTTCTTAATATTTGGATATTGATGACATCTTTATAGAAAGGTTAAAGAGAAAGAAAAGAAGTTTGAAATCATAATTAATGAATCAGATCTTAAAAGGGGGGAGAAAGAAAAACAAAAACTTACTTTTAAATCATCTATTTTCTTCAAATTCGTTATTCCTTTCAAAAAATAATTATAAGGTATTTAATTAATTTTAAACATATTTATTTGCAACTTCACTGAAAAAGAAATTAAGAGATTTTCCTTCAATGTCTAATAATTAATTTTGCTATGGATTACGAAAACGTTAAAGGCAATTAAAATATTTGCCTCGCGTGATTCTTTGCCGGTGTTTTATCAATGAAACTAAGTGAACGATTATTGCATTTTATTTTAACCGCAGTAAAAGACAAGGAAAAAGTACCACCTCTTCCCACTTTCAGCCAATGAGACTGAAGTCGCCTTTTTTGATTGACGTGTAGAAAACGATTGTGGTGTAAGATTATTTAAGACATTCGCGAATGTGTGTGGGCAAAGCAAATAGATTTTAGTGCGTCGTTAAAAATGGGGGTAAAGATAGATAAAGGGACTAGAAATAACGCATTGGATGTCATTATTTATTCCCGAGGCTTTCGCGTGGATTAGCATCCGGATCGAATGTTGATAGTTCGAATTTTGCAAGGAAGCTCTTCCAGTCAGATCGTATCACAGTATGAACAATTTTATTTTAACACAGACTTTTCAAAATGATTATAGTTCCAATCATATTTAAAGAGTTTTTTAAATGGGGATTCAAGTTTCGTTAGCTTCTTCCTGCATTAAAAATAATTCTACAATTATTGCGTGCAGATTAACTAAAGGTATAATAATCTTAACCGGAACATAAGAACAACATAAATCAGTCACGTTTCAAGTAAAAATTCACAGTTTACCAACATATAAGAATAAAAATACAGAGCTCGGAAAGTCGGGTAAGAGTGTGGGTATATAAAGAGTGAATTTCACCAAGAGGGCAACACTTGCAGGCTTCACACCTGCGGAATAGGCACTGACGCATATTTACGAAGACACCGGGCATTTCCCGAATATCACCAGCAGCAACAATGATTCTGGCAACTGGTTCCGTATTGGTTTCAATGGGGCACTCGTAGATTAGGCTTTTTGTATAGCCCCGACAGGAAAAGTCCAAACACGATGATCCGGTGATCTTGGTGGCCAAGCTATGGGACCACCTTGACCAATCCATCGCTCTAGAAATTTTGTGGTTCGTATAACCAGCAATCCTCTCGGCAATCCCCGGTAGAAAATGCCGTTAGGTAAGAGGACTGACCCTGTTTATGACATTTCTTTACAATGCCACATAACGGCTCGCCGTTAGAGTTCCGATCATACATTCTCTGATGAATATTGCTCGTATAGTTGTTTTCTATCACCCCAACCTTTGGCCTACCGCGAGCACATTTTGGCCTATCGCGAGCACGTTTCCAAAACATCAACATTTTTGTTAAACATATTTCCAATCTTATGTGATACATCTGAAATATTAATTTCGGCAAATGGGTTTGAGATGAATAATAATATTGGTTGAACTTTATACAAATCAGAGAAGCGGAGTTCAAAATTATTTTTCAGTGCATTTAGGTTTTCCGAGTATTTCTCTGTTTCAATTGCCTTGTGGTTATTAATATGGCTTGATAAATTCTGAAAAAGGTTGAAATTTTTTTCTTTCATCTGATTTATCCACAAATTTAACTTTATCTGAAAAACAGTTACAGTCCCAGTCAATTGAAAAAGGGTTTTTTACTTTTCCCTGGAGATTTTAATTCAGTTTGTTCAGTTTAGCTGTTATATCCGTGAGAAAATACAGATCGGATAACCAATTATTATCGTCCAGTTCTATATAAGTTTCGTTTCCGGATTCCAAAAACTGCTTTATTGGCGAAAGAAGTTCTACAAATCGTTGAAGTACTTTTTCCCTGCTCAGCCATCTAACATTGGAGTGAAGCAATAAGATTCCATATACGCTATAAAGTTCATCAGTCAGAAATCAGTTATTTTATAACGTCTTGCAAGATATTTCTTATGACTATAAATGCTAAAATATTTTTTGTTCATAGTACCTAGTCGAGCTGACGAGCACATACAAAAGGATCGGCGAGTACAAGGTTGGGCACCGCTGCCCTAAAGTTTTGCCCTCTTGTTCAGATTCACCCTATCTATACGTTTGGTGCGGCCCACTAGAACAAAAAAGGGAGATACACAGCTACATTTTATAGCAATCCCATGCATAAAATTTCAACGTTCTGCGGCCAATCGTTTTTGAGTTATCCGAGATACATACATACATACGTAGGTACGTACAGATGTCACCAAAAAAACTCCCTTTTGAATCCATTTTAAATCTATTTCACAATCCAGTTTGGAAAATATAGTCTTATTCTGTCCAAACGTACAAATGTCAAATATCGTCTAAATGGATATGTTTTGTGAAATATGATACCCGAAATTATTCGCGATTATAGTACTTTACTTCATTAAAGAAAGTTAAAAACATAAAAATTAAAATTCAGAAACACTATCGAGATACATAAAATGTTTTTCAAATTATTGCTCGAGTTCAGCTTTTGTAGAGTTCTCATTAAATTAAAATTAAGAAAAAGAACAGACTTTGCGTGACATAGATTTTGAATAAAATTCTATGGATTTCGAGGGATATCAGACAGAGTTTCTCCTTCTACAATGGCAAAAAAGCGTTTTGGGGATATTGGTGAGATTGCTATTATGCGAAAGTAAACCATAACAAAAGTAAAATTCAGAAAAAAAAGCTTCTTTTAATGCACTTCGAATAATTTAATGGAGTCTCTTATTTACCCTAGATGCAAGTAGTCTTGATGTACTAATTAATGCGTCGCTCGTTGTGGTAGTTTTATCAGCTGAACTATTATAGAGTGATTCGTTCAATTCTAAATTGAAGAAAATGCAATATTTCAAAGACTTAAATTTTGAACATTCGTATATAACTTACACGAGATACATATCGATATTAGAAAAGATTCTGGGAATGATTATTCAGCACCATTGGCCCCACATTTCCGGTCGCAATGCTTCGTGTTTGTGGAAATAGCCAACACTATTTGTCACTAATCATTGAACATTGAAATTTTACGTAACTCCTCCCCCCATTTCCTATGTGGTATGTGGTCTATTAGCATACACATTTCCTTTTCAAGCGCTCCACAAGAAAAAATCGGTCAGAAGACCTTGGTGGTCATAAGCCTTTCGAAATAATTTGATCATCAAAACATATGATTTCACTTATGCTGGCGGTCTGGTGTTTTGATTACGTCAAAACTCCCCCTCCCTCCTTTCCCAATGTCCAAAGTTCCTTTAATGTTAATTCCATTCATATGCTCATAAAGTTTGTTTTGGTTTGTTTAATTGAGGGAAAGCACGCGAGGCCTATCTGCCTAAGGGGAGAGATGATCTTCGTGGACTTCTAAAGGAAACTGACTCGTATACACGTTAAGCATAGGCAAACTACGAAAACGCCCATGCAGTCAAGCCGTTCGCCGAAATTCAAACCCCGGACCTAACTACCGGTGTTCAGCGACTTTACCGCTAGTGGGCTACAAAGTTTGACTTGTTTTGGCAACACAAAAGAGTATCAAACTCCTAACAGACGTTAAACGAATTATCGCTATGTCTGGAAAAAACAGCAAAGGCTTTAAAACAAACCTTTTATTAAGTCGGAACTGGAACACAAACGCACGACTCTTGCTTACAAATCAACAAAACATTTGTGGCGATCCTAAGTTTTACTAACGTTTATTTTATTTTAAATCTTTACTATCACTTCTTATTTTCTACTTCCGGCCAGAAAAGCTTTAACTTATTTATGCAAATTTGTCTTGCTAACACCAAGTACTTAAGTTGTGACTTTTTGCCAAGCAAGAGAGAGGAAGGAGTTATTAGAAGCAGGCCGCTTGCCATAGTAGTTTTACTCGGTTGCTGGTTGCCTTCAAGCCCAGAGGTTTAGTCCTCTTGATAATTTCAAACGTATCGTAGTTTTAGCAGCTCTCTGTACTACATACGAATTTTGTTAAATAACGGCCAATCTTAAAGTTAGGCACTTGTATATTAATCCAAAGTTATTTTTAGTTATAGTTAGTAGTTTTATATTCTTACGTTCAGACCACAAGTGGTTGGTCTCTGTATTCCGAAGTTCCGGAAATCTCTGTAAAGATAGAAAAATAAAGGGTTTCGTATACCCTTCCTGTGTGTATTGTCTACTTCACAATTTATTGAACATAGCTTGAGTAAGCTCCCTGTTCCGAGTCAGGACAGTTCATTTTTCCAAGGCAAGTAAAGAGGAACACAAATCCTGATAAAGTAAAGGAAGTATTTTAATCGCGAAACATTTCGGGCTTCGTATCTCAATGGAAATATCCCTTTTGACCATTCCTGAATGCAGTTGCACGATATTTTTGCGCGATGTTCCTATGTATGGTCAGAATAAAGGACTTTTTCCAAATCGGATTGTAAAATGGATTCCAAAGAGATATTTTCATGACGTCTATACGTATGGATGTATCTCGCATAAATCGAAAACGAGCATCCTTGGAACGGTGAAGTTTTGCGTATGGAACTGCTGTAACGTCTGGTCGTGCATCTCGCTTTTGGATGTAAAGTTGTGGTTTGGATTTTGTCGATGCTGAGTACCTTGCAGAGTTCTTTTAATCACAACCGAGGCAAAATTTCTTCCTTGATCGGAATGTAACTGAAGAAGAACTCCAAACCTAGAAATCCAATGCTGTATCATTACTTCTTGCTAATGTGACAATTTCTTGATCAGGAATAGGATACGCTTCAGGATTCTTCAGGGCACTTGGTGAAGTAATCAATGACAAAGATGGCAACAAACGAGAATGCATTTGTTGCTATCAGCAGTTCGTGGCAGAGTTCCCAGGAAATCAAAGGCGATACGTTCAAAAGGCTCTCCTATATTGTTACGTTGCAGCTTCCCTCGGCTGCGTGTCTTCGGTCCTTTCCGATTCACACAAGCATTGTATGATTGGCACTACTTTTGCATGTCATCCTTTGCGTTACTTCAGTAGAAGCGTTCTCGAACTCTCTTCAAGGTCTTCATTATTCCGAAGTGGCCTCCTATAGGGCTGCTATGTAGTTCTTTAAGGACATCCAGAATCCGAGATCTTGAAAGTATCAATTGCCATCGGAAAGTCTTCCCAGCATACGATTCGAATTTCCGGTACAAGATGCCGTTTCGAATATGGCGTGAGTCCCAGACAGCCCAATATTGTTTTGTCGTTGAACTATAGATCGAAATGTCTTGCCAGGTAGAT